TTTTGTTCACAATGTCACCTAAAGTCCCTGAAAATTTCAAGGAATAATATTCATATCTTTCCTCAAAAATAAAAATTTTATCGAGGGAAATTTGGCAACTCTCGAATGTTCATACGGCGTTCTTCCTTAGCCGACCGGGATCGGGTTCATCATCACAAGAGAGCGGCTCTCCTCCTCGATTCGAGGTTGCACAAGAGAATGACATTCCTCTCCGATTTGAGATTGCGTTAGGTAGGATACTTGTTGTGTTAAAAAAGATTTAAACTGAGCTTTGTAAAATTTAATCTGCTGTAACTAAAGCTTCTTAAAAGTGATGATTATGTACATATTTTTTTATTTTTTTAAATTTTAAGCTGTAATAATTATGATCGGAGAGCAGGTAAATGGTTAAAATGAAACCTCATGACAATAAAAGCTTTAAGTAAATATTTAACTTTAAATTTAACGCTTGTGCTGGTGGAACTGCACTTCACATTTAAGATTGTTCAGCATTGATTGCCGATTAGGTACATGGTACATGCTTATAATGTAAATGTTGCATTTCTATACCTCTAAAACCAGCCATCTGAAGCTATATAAATTATGAAGATACTTAGGTTATCTCGCTACAAAGCTTTGATAAATACACATCTCAATAAAATTCTCAGGTTCTTAAAAACGGATCAACTTTTCAGGAGGCTTTTTTCTTTTGAAGACTGAGAAATAAGGGGCAGGGCCGCCATTTAAGGTGAGTAGGGCAAATTTCAAAACTAATTTTTAAATCGACATTTTTTTGGGGTCAATTTGAGCAAACTGTGATCAAAGAAATCCTCCCTCCAAATTCGGCTGAAATGAATGCTTCTCAGGAGGAGTAGATTTATTCATTGCTAGTGCGCTCTTGTTTTTTTGTTTTTTTTTTGGCCGTATCCCACACGGAAAAAAACTCGTATTTTCGCTCAACCTAAAGTTTACACGCACCCATTAATTCTGTTCCACTAGACGCTGCATGCATCGTTCCTTTCTTCTCTGCACTTTTGGCGATCACTGTGCCGTGGTGTGAAAATGCATAGGGTGGAGTGTGGCGGGCGTGCGCTCAAAATCTGACGTATCTTTTCATCGTTAATTGTGTTTGGGGGACTAATCCGACGAGGTAATAATTTAAAGAGTAATTTATTAGTGACGTCCCCGTCACCGCAAAACGGCGGCAACCAACCACCCACCCCAGCCCCCTCCCCCAGTATCCAGCTTGGTTCTGCGAACTACCGTTGCCAGATTCCCCAAATTGGACCGATGACGAACCAAAAGCATTGACGCATTTGAAGTAATCAATGCTATAAGGACCTAACATGGCCAAAAAATCAAAAAATGAGTTTCTCGTGGAAAACTTGTCTCATAGCTGAGAGGTGTATACATTCTGTGTAAATATTTCGAAAAATTAACGAGCATGCGCTACAATTAACTTATAAATGACAGTTTAACAACAACTGGGTGCCTTTTATGTGCGGTCTCACTCTCAAACCGCGTGCATTAATTTGAATTCGAATCTAATTTTGGCCGTATCTCAGTCCTCGACTTTTTTAACAAGGAGAAATTTTAATCTTCACGAAGTACCAATGCACACTCGGGACTTCATATTTCAATGAAAAACCACGAATAATGCCATCATAAATTTGACAACGTATCTTCATTTTGCCAGACGTATTAGTTTCCTCGTCGTTATTACTCAAAGTGCAATAAAGCATAGTTATATATCATTTCTGCAGAATGCGCGCCCCAGTTTTGCGGTATTTGAAGTCACCTTGACTTACAAAATGCAGCAATTCCATAGAGACACTGAACAGGCTATGTACAGCTTGAAAACCAATTCAAAGTAATGATAATGAAAACAACATTTTCACTTCATCGTATAAAAAAGAAAGAAACTAGTTCGAGAAACTGTAAGCATTGTTTTTAGCAACTGTTTTTAGCATTATACAGCGTTTCAGTTAACTGTTATTCTTGAGTGGTATCAACTTTACAAGCTTTTCTTTCAAAATCATGTCTTAACATAATCTTTACAAAAAATCAAGATTTAGAGCTATTTTTATTCATTTAACACCTGTTAGGGTGAAATTTGCGAAAGTTTTAAAATCATAGTATTTGGAGGTAGTGTTACACGTGGCCCATTTCTGGAAGCTCGACATTATTTTAAAATGATTGCATATTTAGGGAACATTTTACCGTTGACCTAACCTGAAGATCCCATAAAAGCGTAATAAAATCTGTCAAAATTATGATGAGAGATCTTGTGTGCAGTCTCACTCTCAGAAGCGTAAATTTATTTGAATCCAAACTTGTTTCCGGCCGTATCTCAGCTCTAGACTTTGTTAATTACAAGGAGAAATTTTAATCTTCTTAAAGTACCCACGCTTACTAATTACCTTTTCCAACTTCCAACTTTGAAATGAAATAGAAATGATATTCACTCAGAAGTGTCTTCCCGCTGTTATGTTGTCTCTCCTCCCCTCCATGCAGATTCAGATGTTGTCATGTGATGCAGTGTAAACCTCGCAGAGTCCACATCCCTTGCCGCCTGTGAGCATAATTAAGATACAAAAAACATTCAATCTCTTCAAAGAGCGTTAGGATCAGTAAAATTTATTTCAAAATAATTAAAGCGCATCGTAGAGCTCATCGTCTGAAATTAAAAAAAAAATGAACAAATATACAATGCGGACAAATGCTTAGTATGTGTAAAACCATGCACATGCCAGATTAAGTTAGTTAGTTAGTTATTTATTATAATTTTAAGACATTCAGCGACAAGAGTGAAATTAATTTGGAGCCCGGTGGATCTATGTTAATTGAGAGAAAGTAATAAACAACAAAAAAATGGGCGTCTTTGCTGATTCGAAATAATTTGAAAATAATGACTTCTACACCAGAAATCAAATGAATAGCAAAAAGCAAAACATTATGCGCAAACATAAAAAGATTTACGCACTCTCTGATAGATTAATGTTACTTTGAAAACATGTCTCATTTCGGCTCATAGAGGAACAATTGACTAATTATTTTTAATGGATGCTTTGTCATAAGGTGTATTGATACTATATTTGAAAAAATCCTCAGAACAAAAAAATGCTTCAGAACAAAATACATTCCAATCCGTCATTTTCATGAAGGGGGAGAATGTATTTCCAATCTCTCGGAAGGGAGTAATTGAATAATGAACGTTACCGTATTGATTTGTGTTTCACATGATCAGTTTGAAGTGTTAATCCATGGCTTAAGTCGAAAAATGTGTATCTTCTACAACGTTGCGAATGCACGATTAATTTTATTTTATTTGTTTATTTTTTTTAAAAAGAAAATGTGTATTAACTAACACTTTCTCATGAACTTTTCTGGAGTTTTTTATTTCTGCTTACGGATACGTTACGCAAAATAAACCCATTTGATAGCTAGACCGCGTTTAACAGGATGGAGCCAAGCCACATCACCTATTGCCAAATTTAACAGAGGGATTTAATTTTTTACAAGAGGAAGTTTACGCAGATGCCTTTGAAAATGGTAAGGAATTGGCCTCACACCATGCAGATAATTCACTGAAATTTGCTCATAAATCTGCACAACCGTTTTCATGTAAAAAACTAAATTGCCCGAATATATTTGGCTATAGTGGATGTGGCTTGGTTCTTTTTTGCTCAATGCGGTCCAGGTATCTCTCTCAGCTGGAACGCTTTTGCATAAATGTGCCAATCAGACAACCTCGAGTTAATTCGTCGGTAAGAAGTTATCATACAACTTTGAATTCGTTAGCGCTTAACGCTTCGCGAGGGAATCATTCTGAACATCCAAGAACACGACCGGTGGAAGCACAATAAAGACGGGGAGGGATGAGTTAAGTGTGAGATGGAGGGGATAGGAGGCTGGATGTAAGATGGATAAAACTTTGATGTAAAATGGATGAAAAATGGGCCAATCCCCCTTGTTTTACAGGGATTCGCGCAATTTCATTTCTCAACGAGTTGCGAACTTTGTCAAATTCTTTAATGGGATCCCCGCTTCGGCATACCTGATCATAACTTCGGCGACCATAACTTCGGCGACCATCCCTTCCCCTGCCCCCGCTACCAACCCTGAGAGTGACTTCGAGAAACTTCCGCAAACACCGCGGATTAAATTTTCCAGCCTAGTTCGGTTTTTCAATGCACATCCGGTAGATTGAATCTGAGAGTTTCGCTTGATGTGTCGCGAAAGTTTGACAGGTGCTTCTTCGCGGTACTAAGTTGCTGGAATTGCATCTCTTAATCAGAATTGTTCTTCTCGTTCAAAACAATGGTGAAATTTGGGTCGTCGTTGTATTTCAGTTATGGGATCGTTTGCTTACTGTTTAACTTTCTTTATGAATGGTTGATCCCCGATCACTAACTTATTTTATCTTGGTAATCAACCATTCTAATTGACTGAATTCTGACGTCGCAAGAATTTTTAGTTATAATGTGCTTCGTTTTTAAGAAGATAGTCGGTAGCAATGACTACATCCAGATATGCGTGTCATATAGATTGCGGTATTGCCAATTTCCAGATTCATTATTTAATTTTGACAGAGAAATTGACCTTTATCTTTTTTCAATTTTCTGTGAATTTTTTTCACCCATTCAAAAATCTTCACAGAAAAGGAAATACTTTGGTTAGTTTTTGTTCAGGAAAATTAAAAGTGAAACGGATATTTTGGGACGTTGCAACGAAAATGAGGTCATTCCATTTTTAGTTAGCTATAAGTTCCTATGCTTGATTCAGAGCCATGCAGCGTACAACCATTTCGTATTACGATTTATTTAATCTCAGGTTAAAATTAAAATGACACCTTTTAGAACCTGCTTTAATTGAACAATGAGGTAAGTTTTCCAACTCTGCAATAGTCCGTAAATCCATAAATATCTCCGGAGCTTTGAAAAACAGCATTGCAGTTTGAAATAATGCATATGTATGGACTGTATGTTAATTTTCAATGATGTACTGTTTTTTTTTTTCAGAATCTGAAGGATCAAATTTTGACGACTAACGTTTGGCTTGAACACGTAAGTTTGTAAATTTAATTTCATGAGATTTGTACGTAGTCTTAGTCAGGGGAATAAAGCTCGCTAGTCCACTCGCGTATAATTTCGTCAAGGCAATTTTTTTGGGAAATGCATTGAAAAATTGAATTTCTAAATTTCGAGAGAAAACTGTACCTCTAGTTTCATGAAGAATGATATCTACCTAGGTCAGTTGCATGCTAATTTACATACATAAGAGCCGCTTTCATAGCGCTCCTTGGTGCTCTGTGACGCCTAACCGCCACAAAACTCGGTCCTCTCATAACTCGTCGGGGAGTTGCCATGCATGCCCATTTTTTTGTTTTAATTTTTCAAATTCATAGCTTTTGTTTCAGTTGAGAATGGGCATGGCGCTTCACGCCCTGGTTGTGTTTATCTCTTTTTTAGCCTTATACGTACCCATTTGTTTTTTATTCATCGTATTTTACCGTTTCATAAAGAATTAGTATTCGAATGGGAAAATCAGCATCACATATCGTCGCCCCTCACCTTGAAAAAAGAATCTCGGTGTATTTACTAAGAAAAGGGTAAAATTACCATCAAGAATTCAGGGTTCTATTCGATCCTAGTTTTTTCTTGGTAAAATTACCATTTATGGAATTGGTAATTTTACCGAGAATCTCGGTAAAATTAATGAACTTTCTCGGTAATTTTACTGGACCTTGGTAAAAACGCCAATGTTTTTTATCGACTGTAGTAAAATTACCGAGATAAAATGGCAAAGTTACCGGGAATTGATTACCAATAAAAGTGGTATTCTTACCTGAAAAAAACAGTAAAAATACCGGTTTTTAGGTAAGTTTACCAGTCTGTCTTGGTAAAATTACCAATAAATGGTAAAAAAAATTGAGATGGTAAAGGTACCAACGGACCTTGGTAAAAACGCCGACAATTTTTTCAGTGCAGACGTAAGGGCGTATCTCACTTTCTGCGTCGATCCTTGCTGTAAGTATTAATTTACGTTTTCTGGGGCTCATGCAAACATCGAGACACGCCCTTACACCAAAGGAGCAACTTCATGCCAAAAAGTTTCCTCTTCCCGAACGGGATGCACGGCGATGCAGTTGGCGCAGCATCCGGATTTCAAGGAATCCCGTCTGCTAATTCCGCCGAGAGTAATTCCCGATGAGGTCGCGTAATAAAAATGGAAAAGGAAAAGCTCCGCACCTCGAATTCAATTTTTCTTTGTTATTGCGGTACACACATATTTTCCCGCGCTCGCTACCCACTCCGCGGCTCTTTGTAATTCTCCGCGTAAAGGGCATAAATAAAGACGGGAAGTGAATAGATGTTACCCTTTCGCGCTTTTCACCCCCAACCCCCGCCCCCCCGCTACCACCTTGCGACTTGGTCCCTATTTTATTTCGTGTTGCCGAGTTAAGTATGTTAGCCGGGAAGCCTTTACGAGAGGCCGAAGAGCGGCGGTCCCCCGTTCGGAATCGACTTTTATTCCCCCATCGGTACTAAACATGAATACATTATTCGCCCCCCCCTCTCTCCCCACTATGGAAAGACCTAACTGAATTTTCAAGCGTGTACCGCACTGTCAAACGAAAACCTTAAGACTACGTAAGGTTTATATCGGACTTGAGCGGTTATTGCGGAGTTCAGAGGGGGTTTGGGGTCGCGAGTCGCGAGGCTGTTACGCGCTTTTGCGGCGCGAGTCCTGTATTGATTCCGCGTCTGTGGCCTCCGTTCGCGCTGATGGAGTTAACGAGAGAGGTTCGAGAATGGGTTCGCGAAAAAACTCGGGCCGCGAAGGCGCGGAGGTGCTGTTAACGGAGACGCCGTGGCGGATAAAAGCAGCGGCGTAGCGTGACTTGCGATATATCGATTGTTATGCCATTTAAACCTGTGGTAAAGAATCGATTTTTAAGGTGTTCGCTGCGAACACCCTGTTTATCGATCCTTTTCCATAGGTTTAAATGGCATAACAATCGATATATCGCAAAGCACGCCACGGCACTGGATGAAAGAGGCGGAGACGCGGAGGTTCTTTTGGCTCTCGCGTGATTTTAGCCGGAGAAGTCCTCACTCAGGAGCGTACCCGCGGGCTGCCTTTGAACATCTTTTCCCCGAAGGGATATCCACAAGGCTGGCATCGCGATTAGGGAAGGTTTGTGGGGACTGGGGGCCGAAAACAAAGGATAAAGAAATAAAGGGGCTCGTCCCCCTTTTTTCAGGAATAACCACTTAGGGACCATTCAAGTTTATTACGTTTATTACGCGAGAAGAAAAAAGAACATTGGTTATTTGAATATGGGCTTGTTCTGATGGAGGACTGATCCCTGAATCGCACGAACCGGTCTCTTCGGTTAATAGAACTGAAGATTTTGTAAACTTGTTACTAGAAAACCACGAATTTCCATTTTTTTCCCAAGAAAGGACGTGTACCCCCGGAGTTATCCCCCAAAATTGTTCCAATACCCAAATTTGTTGGGTGATATGGACATTTCCTATTAATTTTGGTAGCACCGCAACTTTGTAACTTACTTTATCGGGATACTATCACAATTAATTGTTACCACAATTAATCGGAGTATTACCTCAATTAATTGGGAATGTCCATATCATCCAACGGTTGGGACTTAACCCCTGCCTCCTTTTTTCTAAGGCCTTTTTTGGCCCTAACTTCGATCGAAAATTAAAATGGCCTAGGATAATGCTATGTATGCCCATATCCCCTGGTAAAAATTGGCAGTAGAATCTGTGTTCCAAAATACCATAGACCTACAGCCGGCTGTAAGATTTCCAATAGCTTCTATAGCCGGCTACACAATTTCTTACAGCCTTTTATAGCCGATGGCGACTAAGCAATAGCCAGGCGATAAAGTCTATGCTAAACGTTACTAATTACGGATGCTAGGACTTAGTGAGTTTTTGGATTACTGCTCTCTTTTTGGGCCGTAGTATCTTGATTTATTTTGCGAGGAAAGCTCCGTACTTTTGATGGATGCCTGCCATTCCTAATATATTAGAGCGCCTTCAGTTTCGTATGATACTGTGCAATACCTCAGGGGTGAAATAGTTGCTTCAAGCGCCGTGGCACGCTGCGGCGCGGCAGGCGGGCAGCCAGCGAGGACCCCGAATTGGCGCTTACAAACCTAACAGGGATACTTCACGCGTTGCGCAATGCGTGAAGTATCCCTGTTAGGTTTGTAGGCGCCAGTGCGTCGCCGCTCCGCTTTGTGTCACGCTGTAATATTTAATCTGGCGGAGTCTGCGTTATTCAACTTATGATTTTGAAATGTTTGCACATCCTGTATGGATTATTCTCATTTTAAACGATGAAAAAAAAACGTATTAAAGGAAAATATAATGTGTGCTTTGTAAATATTAAGGTGGTTCCGTATCAAACTTAATGATTTCCAAAGCACACGAATTTCTACACAATTTCTTATAGCCTTTTATAATCGATGGCGAAAAAGCAACAGCCAAGCGATAAAGTATAAAGCCTGGCGATAGGAACTATAGGTAGCCCGGCTGCATAATTTTTTATCGCTTCGAATAGCCCGGCCGTATGATTTTCTCCGCATTCTACAGTCAGCTATATGATTTTCTGTAGCCTTCTTTAGCCGGCTATAAGAATTCCTATATGGTATTTTGAAACGCAGCTCTTATCGCCAATTTTTACCAGGGTCAACTCTTCATAATCTACCCTGTAAGAATATTTCTGTGCTTGAGGTATTAGTTTCTCGCTCCCTTAGTTCTAGAGCTTTTTGCCTGATTGACCGACGCAAAATGGGGGAGTTTGGTCATACTTGAAGAATTGCTCTTTTTCGGTCACAAAGCTACTTTTTCAGAGACGAGTCCATAAGCAACTACCACTTGTTTCTTTGAATAAGTCAGAAAGGATAACACCTTAGCAGAAAATTGTCTTGTAAACAGTGTATACTATACTTATAAACTTTGAATTTTACGTGGGTTTGCTACACAATGGTGAATATTCCTCGGAAACTTCCAATTCATACGAGTCTTCACTGCCTCGCTGTAGACTTCCTTCAACATTTTCCATTTTTCAACATACATCGGCATTCACCGGAGACACTGAGAGATTTCTTATTGTTGCAGGAATGGGAGGATCACAAATTTCGATGGGATCCTGCCGAGTATGGCGGCTGCAAGGAACTTTATGTTCCCTCGGAACATATCTGGCTTCCGGATATTGTTCTCTACAACAAGTAAGTTCTCATTAGTACCTCTTTTCATCCAATACTACTCGGATCATTCAGACTCGTGTCTGCTCTCTGCCGAGAGAGCTCCCGAGATTATTTCACCAAATTATCGAGAAAGAAACCTAAAATTGGACAAGCCGTCAAATTTTAAGCAAAATGTACTACTTACCATACCATTGATCATTTTTATTTGGAAAAAAAATGCAAAATATTGATTACAGGACTGATGACTCCCCAATACATACTTCCTCTCATTTGGATGGGCACTTTGATCTTCTATCGAGGCCTAAAATTGCGCGCATCATCGGCAATCTTGAATGTGATCGTCAGATTATGTTCTGCAACAAATTTTCGGGTCTTTTAACGTCATTTCACCCGCCTCATTCCCGCTCACCTCATCCTACCGCACCTCCCACCATATCCCCCTTTCGTCCGCGGTCTAGGCGTCCCGTTTTCAATCGCTCCAGGCCGCTTTAATCATATTAGTGCTCGAGGAAGGCCGTCTCTCCACCTCGTCATAGACACTGCGGCCGGAGAATTTTGCCGTGATAAGGAATGACAGCGCATGGACGTTTAAACATCATCTGGATTACATTTTACAATAAGGAACCACTATTTCTGGCTCATTTTAGAAACAACATATATGCCATTGATTTTCCAGTGCAGATACGTGCTTCCATGGAAGAGTCAGAGATAGTGGTTCCTTATTGCAAAATGTAATCGATCTTTCCTTCTTCGATTTGTTTCGCATTTTCTAGGAAACTTGTAAATACTTTCCTACCAATTTTTTAATATTTTTTCCCATAATTTTATCTAAAACGTTTGAATAATTTAAAGAAAAATATTCATACTTATTGTCGAAAGTAAATATTGTTTTCGGGTTAATCTGGCAACATTTCAACGTTCATATGGTGTTCTCCGTGTGCACGGCGCAGAATACCGTTTACTAACACCAGAATAACCCAAGCCTAGGGATGCGAGCTCCCGATTACGATGTTGTGAAGTTGGATCCCTTCGTCGTCACCAAGGAATTTGTTTTAAATAGGATCACCTAAGGAAATGCAGACCAAAGGGAACACAACATCTAAACCTGCATCGGATTTTTAATATTCATCTTGCCACAAGACGAAAAGCATCAGCATTGGAGGCTGGCACCCTTGCCGCAGCGCAGCCCGACCCCAAAAAACGCTTCGTGGGAAACTTTTTCTTGACATGTCGCAATATCAGATCCTCACACCTCAGATCACTCGTTTTGGTCCGTTTAGGTACTCGTGACGAGACTCAAACCACTCTCCTCTACAGTATGAGTATCCTTATGTAATTTAATTTTTGAAGCGTCCAGTAAGAATACTATACTGAACTTCAAAAATTTTAAAGATTTGCTGTATTGGAGAGATGTGGTTCATAAGACTGAACGCAAATCATATTTTCATATACTTTAAAACGAATTTCTTTGATCTCTCATTAGGTTAAAATTGACAAATCGTCACCTTCCAGGCAAAGTATCACAAGCGCCATGCGACGTATAAAAATTTCCGCCGCCATGTTATTTTTTTACTGAGAAATTGTTGGTTGGATTTGTTCGAAAATTTCACTAAATTTTATCGACAGCACAAAGAAAATTCGGTGTAATTTTCGGACAGCTTCGTTGAACAATTTCTCTGTAAAAAATATAATGGCGGCGGAAATTTTTAAACGTCGCATGGCGCTTGTGATACTTTGCCGGGAAGGTGACGAAATGTTGTTCCGTTAAAAAATGCCTTAATTCTAGAGCTTTCAATCACTTATACATTCTTGACGAAAATCCAAAAACTTATTCGTCACACTGCACCTCTTGGTCTCTGCATGATTCAAATCAATTTTTCATACTTTCTGTATTTTCCCCCACACATCTTGGTCGTTTTTGAACTGAACAATTCAATAATGAGCTTCTTCTAATACCGCTATATTGGGGAAGGCATTATAAAAGCTATAAGATGCCTAAACACATCGTGATGAATTCTGTACCCTCCGTACACAGGTACTCTACGGTTCCCGCGTATAAAGGAAATTGTTTTCCTAATTTATTAAAGTGAAGGAGCTTGACGGGGTTGGTCTCGCAACGACGCGACGCTTATATACATTCATTAACGCGCTTCGACTTTTTACAGAATTACACGGTGCAGGGTTACAAGCCGCCGGCAATAATTCACTTGATTGGACTGGTTATTGGATCGAGGAGGAAGAACGTACCTTCAGCCCTTATCAATTTTCCATTGTTGCCATGAACAAAATCAACGTTACTTTATCGCGACGGGTGGCACCCTTTCTTCTTAGAGTTAAAATGTTTCGATCCATTTTGAAACAGATTTCATTTGAATAGTTCAGAAAAACTGATAACTGTTGTGCTTTGAATCAAATTTTTGTGATCAAATACAAATGCAATTTTTGAGTTGGTAAATGGTAAGGGGTGTCGAAAATGCATAACTTTTTCAATCAATTAGAAACAAAAACGGCTTGAGAATGAAATTTAAGAGAAAATAGAAAATTGGATATTCGTCCGCGGCGAACATAGTGTTCTATCTTATCTTGAACTGAATCATTTTTACTGATTTTGGGTTAATAAATTACACCATAATATAAAATCATGAGAGCAGCGCAAAAGTCTGCGGGGGGTTTGACCGCTAGATCAGTAGGCTTCGGGGCCGGATTTTCCTACTTCCCGCCCATGGGCCGCCTGTATTTTGCCGCCCCCTTATCATTCGTTTTGAAACATCAATAAAAACTATCAAGTGAACGTGCCAGCGGAGGAGGGGTGCATAAGACGCGTTTACTCGTGTTGAACACATTTTTTGGGAAAGCCCTGTCAATACTACTAGCAAAAAGTCACGGAACTATGCGCGAAAGTCAAGTTTCGTAAACCTATCTCTATTCGGACAAGGCCTTCCATTCATAAGAAATGAACAAAAAAATTATGAATGACCAAACACAAAATTTGGTTTAATGATTTTACTTCCGCCGCCGCGCCGCGCCGACCGCACCGTGTTTGGCGCAATGCGTGAAGTATTCACGCAGTCTTGTAGGCGCTATGCGTCTCACGCTGACCGCACTGTGATTGGCGTAATGCGTGAAGTATTCATGCATTCTTGTAGGCGCTATCCGTTTCACGCTGACCACAATAACCGGACTGTGTTTGATGCAATGCGTGAAATATTCGTGCAGTCTTGTAGGCGCTAATATGTGTTACATGCCGATTGCCGCGCCGAGGGCTTCTCCTTTTCATCTCAAGTCCTCGTCATCATTTCTCCCTAAGTCTCCCTAAGTTCCAGGCCAAATTGTGTGTTTGGTCACTCTCTTAACTCGACTAATTAAAGGTGCTGTCTCTTGTATCACTGAAAGACGACAAAATTAGAAATTACTATACTCTCAGGAAATGAGAGATTTTGTAGCCTTTTCTCGTTCGTAATTTTTTTTCTAAATCCGATTTTTTTATGCCTACATTTAAAAAACATTGCAAAATTTGCCGTCCCCTAGATTTGCCGCCATGGGCCGCAGCCCATGTGGCCACCCCCTTAATCCAGCCCTGGTAGGCTTACCCCCTGACTTTGTTAAAATCCAAATGCACCATGCTCTTGATTTTAAATCTTCGGAACTCGATATAATAGTACTCTGATTACGGATGGGATATGCTTTTTTGAGGCATGGCAGTGAGTTAGGTGCTTAACAAAAATCAGTCTAACTACATCAGACATTGCCTAATTTCGTGTTATATTCCATTCGTTCAACTGAAACATACGAATCAATTTTCATGTAATATTTTTAGAGAAAACATGCAACAAAGCCATGTCAATAGGATGACGGAAGAGAGGCTGCCAAAAAAGATGCTTGATTGGGTTCCTCCTGGGAGGAGACGTAGGGGACGCCCAGTGAGAGGTTGGCGACAGGGGGTGTTAAATGAGATAAGAGATTGTCAACTCCCTGATGACCTGTGGGAAGACCGAGCTTTGTGGCGATTAGGCGTCGCACAGCGCCAAAGAGCGCTATAAAAGCGACTCATATATATATATGCAACAAAGCCACGTCTAGTTACCTCCTGTCGTCCAGGGAATTTTAATGAACGACCCAAGAAACGCACCGATAACTCCAATTCTGCCGTGCCAAGGAAGAACGCCGTATGAACATTCGTGAGTTGCCAAATTTCCTCCGATAAAATGTTTATTTCTCCGGAAAGTCATGAATATTTTTCCTTAAAATTTTCAGGAACTTCAGGTGAAATGGAGATGTTGCATGTGCGAGGGATTTGCGATTTGAGTGTTGACTCTTATGTAAAAGTTCGCGAGAAACACGATGGGGCCACTGGTTTTCTCTGAAATCATCTCCCAAGCTCAAAAAAAGCTCTCATAGTGAGGCCAAAATGGAGGGGATATCCCACCCTACCCTGAGAGTCCACCTCTACATCAAGACAAACTCTCCATGCAAAGATAGGGAGCAGATACATTAGCAGTGATGCCGTGTTTTCAGTTTTAGAGTCCCCAAATGAAGTGGCAGCCCTGTCAATGTATTTGCTCCCTATCTTTGCATGGAGAGTTTGTTTTGCTCTCAGGGTAGGGTGGGATATCTCCTCTATTTGGCCTCAACTTGAGAGCTTTTTTTGAGTTTGAAAGTTGATTTCAGAGAAAACCAGTGGCACCATCGTGTTTCTCGCGAACTTTTACATGTGAATCAACAGTCAAATCGCAAATTCCTCACACATGCAATATCTCCATTACGCACTTTATCTGAAAAATTGAAACGAAAATTTTCGCAAGTTTACCAGGAAATTCGTGTTTTATCAAAGGAAATTTGGCAACGCCCGAAGGTTCATACGCCGTTTTTCCTTAGGACGGCAGAATTTCCCGCTCCTATTTTCAACGTGTAAACGCGACTTCACGGCCGTTTCGCCTCCGAGAGATGGCATCATGGCGGATGACCGATATTATTTTTTAATAAACCTTTATCTGAATTCATTTTTAACGACCACTATCGGC